TTTTGCGTCGGAGTTTTTTTTTTTTTTTTTTTTTTTAATTCTTTTTCTCGCTGTGTCGAAGAACCAAATAAAAGCCGTATTTGCGCTTCGCCGAAATATTAGCCTTTACGGATTCTTTTCTTACGGTCTCGCGTCGCGTCTCGTTTTTTGAGACGCGCATGTAAATGTGGTCGATATGAAACCGGTTCTTCTGGCAAGCGCGAGAGAGGAATATGTGAGAATAAAAAATCGAAACTCCCCCGGTGCCAGCGTCTCTCGTAGAAAATACATCTCGCGCGATTTACGACGGGCGAATGTATTTGTTTCACGATCATAGAATTTTGCGTGGATCGGTCGCGCGCGTGCGCGCATGTTCGGTGGCCGATGTGAAACGCGATCTCTCTGCTGACTCGCGACGTTTAACGTATAGTTGTTTTTTTTTTTTTTTTTTTTTTTTTTTTTTTTTTTTTTTTTTCTTACACACCGAGTTGATTCCTCGCATTAGAATTTCGGTGCGGGATCTGCACAGCCAGCGCTGTGTAAGCTTCTCGGAAAATTCGCGCGCGCATTCGGTGGTCGAGTCGAGTTGAGTACGTGTCGAGTTACGCAAAGTGCCCGTTTCAGAGAGACACACAACACCACTTACCGAACACTTAAGGCTGGTGGTCACCGAGGACGAGATATCGCGCATATAAAAGGAGGGACGGGAAATTATATATATATATATATATATATATTTAATGTGTTAAGGTGTGTGTTGTTCGAGCGTCCGGGGGTCATATGCGAATCATAACGACGAACGTCAAACAGACCGTAACAAAAAAACTTTTGTCCATTGTCTCCGTTAGAGAGACAACCTCCAGCGCCGAGGTGAGATTTCGCAGACGCTCGCTAAAAAATTTCAAAATTCATATCTGTCCGACAAGTAGACCTTAGTTGACGAAAAAATCGCGTGTTCTTTACCGAGAATTTTTTATTACGTTCTCCGAGGAGCGTCTCGATAATTTTTTTAGTCAGACACGAGAGCGTAAAAAACCAATTCGGTGAATAGTTCGATGTTTTTTTACTGAATTGACGCGCTTAAAGAACGTAATCCTTGTTTTATTCTCGAGAGAACGCGGGAGGGAGAGGGAGAGGGGGAGACGTCAAGATTTAATTTTTCTTTGAACACGCGCTCTGTGTTATTGAAGGATCGACAATGCTCACTGATAAATTGCGTCTGGCAACTAGTTCATTTACCTCTTTGTTTCTCTCATACATAAATGATGACAACGTGTGTGTGTGTGTGTGTGTGTGTGTGTGTGTGTGTGTGTGTGTGTGTGTGTGTGTGGGTGTAACGACGATTCGGGGAGCTTCGTAACCTCACGACGTAACACGAACGCGTGACATCACGCACGTTGCCACACACACACACACACACATCGTGGTCCATCCATCCGCGCGAGAGATAGCACACATGTGCGGATTTGCACGCGCATGTCGCACAAACTCACCTGTCACCTTTGCTCGCATCTTCGTGCGAGTAAACATCCGCGTAGACGATTAGTATTTCCGGATTCGATCCGGCTGTCACCTTTTCGATGGTCATAATTGGTCAAGAGCGAAAACTTGTTGCTTGCCGCGCCGGTGTTTTGTACTTTCCCGTCACGTGGTCGCGGCGCGACGACGTTCTTCCTCTCTTGTTTCAAGACAACGTCCCACGCGCCGGATCTCTGTGGAATTTATTTATCGTCTCACGTGCCGCACGCGATATCCGCCAATTTTTGCGCCGCACAGAGAGTCGCGGAAATCACCGTCCGATGATAAAACACACACCGCTACGTCGATGCGATTTCTCACGTGAACGTCGATCGGAAGAAACGATTTCCGTTTGTTCCGCGCGCACATAATATTTCGCTCTTAGACGAAAGTTCTTTTAACTCTCGCTCGCCGTTCGCAACGCGCGCTACGCAATTGTAATACCGATCAGCTGCGACGAAACGTGCCGTGAGCAGAGGAACGAATTTATGACACGCACGACTAGCGAGTCTACTCATCGACAATCCGTGAACAACTGACGACTTTCGTGTCCTGCGGTAGTCGACGCAACACGTTCGTGCCGGGCTGTTCCGTTCCGTACATCCCTCCTAAAAATGTACGAATAACATCCCTCCGTTGCACCCTCTCTCTCTCTCTCTTTCTCTCACACACTGTGTGTCGGCGCTTTTATTTCCAGGATGACTGTAACCCAACGCTTTCTCGAATTAGTCGCCAGATAAATGTCTCGTGTGTGCTTCTTTACGACTTTTTAATAGCTTCATTATCTATCGGATCGTTGGATTTCCGTGTTGGACAGTTAGATTTCTAGTAACAAATTAACCGTGTTTTTTTTAATAAATATTAATGAACGTTAATGCGATAGAAATCGGGATTTTATATATACGTTTACATACACTTTGGAAAACTTTCTTCGAGTTTAAATGAATTTTTAATTACTGAATATTTTCTACGTTTTATCTTTGCGGATAATGTATTCTTAACAGTCTGACACATGTGTGGTAAACGAGTATAATTATTTCTCGTAGAGAGAACACGCGCGTGTTTGTCGGTGCCGAAAAAATAATATCGGTATTAAATAAGCAAGATGAAAATCAGCGGGTGTTATCAGTGTCGCGCAACTACATATCTAAACGGCAATACAATTTCGTTTTCGTCGCTCTTGCGGCGGCATTGTGCGTCATGTTTGGGGAGAGGGTCTGTCACTGCCCCTTCTACAGCGTTCTTATGGGGTCCTTTGTTATTTGCCGCTCGTCGAGAGAGTCGTCCGGTCTCGCGGACGAGTGATCGAAAAGACTCGATTTCCAAGAGTCATCCGTACAAAAGAAAAAGTTATCTTTCAGAAAAAAAAAACAGAATATATTGTATTTCTAAAATGTAAGGTCTTTGAGTTTTTGTGAGTTAGCACAAATTTTAGCGCGAATACAACTCGAGATTGTATAATCTTGCGATTAAGTCGCAAGTATTGCGATTATTTTTATCTCATAAACATCTGAGTTTATTTCATTGTCGTTTATCGCGAGAGATATTAGAAAGATATTGATAAATTATCTATCGGAGATATATGTACTGTGTAATTTGCACACAGTTGCGCTTATCAGTGTTTATCAGCGTAAAGTTCCTCGCACAATGCGAGGGAATAGCGATGGCGATAAGCGATAGACACAGAATTCCAACTCGTCGGAAATTTTATCGCTATTGCTTATTCCGTTTTCTGATCTGCATTGATAAATGTGTATTTTTTGTATGTTAGATCCCGCTGTTCTTTACTGTTATTTATAAATATAAACTCTTTAAAAAACTCTTTAAAGAGCTACAATCGATAAAATCTCTTTAATCTTATCAGTATAAAGTGTTTATGTTACACAAAGCAAAAACAAATGTTTAACGATGCAATAATAATATGTGGACTTTGAATACGCCATTAATTGTTTTTTATCAGTTTTACGTCAATTCCCAATAGATAGGAAGGTGACATGCTTGACATTTTATCGTTTTTTTTTGAAATATAAAACTTTAATAACTTTTGCAAAAAAGTCATTGCGGAGAAGAATAACACTGGTCTAGAAATTTGCAGTTTTTGTCTCCGTCACATTGTGTTTTATTAAAAAATGTCAAAAGTTGCGTTGACAGTTTGTGGCACGTAATGTTAAAAAGATTGAAGAACACAACAGCAGAGAAAGAGAGGGATAAACTATATAATTGTGAAAATTAATTACACAAAACATTAGAAAAAATAATTACTTTATTTAAAGAAGTTTTTTTTGTACATTCACGTATAAAATTAGAAGATAACAACATTGTTCTATTACCGACAAAACAATGTATTTTTTATTCTGTATTTCCCTACTCTTTTAAATCACATTAATCACATAAAAAAAATATATATATATATTTGTTTTTTCAAATGTTTGTGGGTTCTTTTATTTTCTTCGGCACGTCTTTGTTGCCGGTTTTCTTCCTCATGTCTTCATTCTTGGAGACAAACTCGACGAAATCGTCCGCCAGAAGGGCCGGTTCCTCAAACGCAGCAAAATGACCACCGCGTGGAAGATGATTAAATTGTAATAAATTTGTATATTTGTCGCGGAGCAGACTCTCTGGCGAATACATAATTTCAAAAGGAAACGCCGCGCACGCTGCTGGGACGTCAATTGGTAGACTACAATTTTGAACATACAATGTGTGCGCATAAATTTCTTAATAATAGAACAATTATTCAACAATATATGTGTTTGATTTATACTCCGTGAAATTGTTAAAAATATATATATGCAAGAGGGCCGATACGGAGTCAAATACTAGGTGTTGATGTATGAACATTTTGTTCATATTTGACTCCGTATCGACCCTCTTGCATAGAACAATTATTATTTAATATAGAAAAAAAAAAACACAGACAAAATGCGTCTATTCGATGTAGAAAACAGATGCAAGGAGAAAAACAAACTTACTCGTTGATTTCGTTTTGGTTATTGGCCGTGCTATAACACTCAGCATAAATTCGAACACTTGTGGTCAAAGAATTGGTGACCCAGTACAACATGACGTTGTCCAAAAGCTCGTCAAGAGTGAATTTCTCGGTCAGACCGCCATCTGGACGAAATCTGTAGTCTGGGTTGGTCCACGTGCTGAACTTTTCCAAAATGTAACCTGCTACTCCTACCGGCGAGGCTGCCACAGCAGCACCTTGAAGAACAACAAAGTTTCGTACACCTTAAATTCAATTTAAATTGAAAATAATTGAACAAAAAATCTGCGCACTCTCAACTAGTTTATCTACAACTCAGACGAATTAACAACATCAAAACAAACGATTGTCGTTGTAGTTTTTTTTTATTTTTTTTTTTTTTATTTTTTATTATTCCGCTTCAATAGATTTTGAAGCAAATTAAGAGAGATTACCTATAGTATCGGGTTTGGTTGCTTGTATGTGAAAGTATCCCGTTTCTTCGAGTAACCGACCAAAGTGATACCCCAAAGGATACATTTTCGAGTAATGCTCGTTATCAACGACGAGCGACGGAATGAAAGCGCCGAGTATTCTCCAAAAGGTGCTGGACTTCTGAAATGGCATGCACATGTTCGTATGGACACCGATGACACTAAAAAATAACCGTGTTGTTGTAATTCTCGATCTGGATTGTTTCGCGTACGTAAATCAATCAAAATCTTATCGCGACGCGTACTTGTCTGAAAAGAGAGCGCCCAAGTTGGAAACGATCAAGGACCCCCAGTCTCCTCCCTGTGCGTAAAACTTATTGAATCCGAGACGTTGCATGAGATTTTTGAATATAACGGCTATCTGAAAAAAAAAAAACACAAAACAAATCGGTTAAAAGTTGCAATGGTTAGGAAGTTGCGTATCCTCATGCAAAACGTTACCTGTGCCGGAGCCAATCCGGGTCGTACGGCCGCTTGCGAAAATGCATATCCCGGAAGCGACGGTGCGATCACCTCGAACACGAAGTCTTTGTTGGGACGCGGCGTCGTCAATATAGGAATGATCTTTTGAAATTCCACGACGGATCCCGGCCAGCCGTGAACGAGCAGCAATGGTAGCACCTTGATATTTTTCCGATCCGGTGGAATGTACGGTTTTACGTGTAAAAAGTGTATGTCCAGACCTGCGATCGTTCATACTACATGTTAATTTACTTATCATTGCGGAAACGGATTTGCTTGCGTGGCAAATTTCATGCTGTCGCGGTGAATTTTCTTCGTCCGTACACGGACAACAAAGAGATTTGGCGAACACGCTAATACAAAACTGCGTGACAAGTTTGCAATAAAAAATTATCTTTTCTTTTCCGCTCGTCTGTGTCTCGAATCTAATTTGATTAACAATATTTTATAGATTTGATAAATTGTGTATTTTTAATGTGTGTTCGATCAATATAACAATAACAATGCAGTAATATAATTATCACATGCTTTGCATATGTGAAATATACGATCTTAAGAACACACTGTAAATAATTAATTGTTCGATTAAGAATGTTGTTTGTCAAATCGGCATCGAAGTTGCGACACGAAATGAAGAATGAAATGCGTATTTACTTTGTATGTAAATTGTTCTAAGACTTGCCTATATCCTTGCAGTCATATTGTGATGTTTGAACCGAGAAATGACCAAGCAAGATTCTTACAATGTGTATTTAAATTTTTCATGAAAAGTGATCGCCCGACTTGAATCGCACTTTGTTCATTCAAATAAACAGTAATAAAAAAAAAACATATAAATCAATATCGACTCGATTCTCAAGACCGCAGTGTTATATTGAATTACGACAAATTTAGCTTCGCGTCAGCATTTTCGATAGACTTTGGCATGCAATACACAGAAAATTTTTTTCCTAGTAATAAACACTTATTCATATTAATAAACTCATATTAATAAACACTTTATTCGACATCGTAAATTTTGAAAATAGATATCGTCGCAATCGGTGTTGTGCAATTTATACACTCGCCGATTTACGTGTAGATAAACAAAAAGAAGGTCTTCATGTCTTTAGATAACGCGGTGTGTGTTATCTAAAAGTACGAAATAAACCAAACCTATTTTTGTATTTTTGTAAAGCGTGTGACAAAATGTCATACATTTAACACTAGCAGAAGAAGAAGTTCTTTCCGTCGGTGTTTAGAAAATTAGCTTACCGTTGTTTCGGTCAAAAAACTTTATAACGGAATTCACGTGGTTGGACCGTGGCTGAGTATTCAGGCCGACAATTATCTCTATATTTCCCGTTACTAATTAGACGGAAGAGGTGAAACAAACACACACACAAAAAAAAAGAAATATTTAGCGAGTTCAATAACGTTCTGCTCTCTTTCTCTCTCTCTGTCGTCGCGCAAGAATTTCTCGCGCGAGCGCTTTTCGAGAAATCAAAAAAACGACCAATTTAATTTTTTTTACCTTGTATGTTAGTGATATATTGAGGATATTTGTTGAGCAGCGCTTGCCGCTCGGTCCAATTATATTTTGTGCGCCAGTAATCGAGCACGTCGTTCAAATACGTTGTGCTGATACCGTAAGTCCAAGCGGTGTCTTCCAAAGGTTGCACCAATTCCCTCTTCTTTGCCAGCCGTTCGTTCAGATCTTCGATCACCTTATTGCAAGAATTACAATATCAAGTCAAAAATCGCGGTATACGTCGTTTACATATTTTTCTCTTGGTTTTTCTTTTTCGCGAACTATTGCGAAATTGAGAAACTCGTTTTGAAATTTATCAGACACTTTCATCGATCGAATCGTTAGGGACTTTTAAAATGTAACCTGAAGTCTAGTATCGAACGCTTTTTTTATGAACGATTTCCGCTGAGACGTGCAAGAATCTATCTCTCTTTTTTTTTTTGCCGCTATCGCGCCTCTCGTTTGATTTCTTTATTACGTAAAACGCTTTATAAGTATCGATGAGACGAGGAACGTCTCTTTCAGTTATTTATATAATATTTTGTACACACTCTTGAGGTCATGTTTTGACAAGATATTTTTTGACGAGATAAGTGGAATGCAACGACTATTAGAATCTGATAATTATTTAGTAATACATGCTATTGCTTTCAGCATTAAAAACTGATCTTGGATATAAATCTGTAGTGACCTGTTTACTTGACATTGAGCAACCGTGTTACATAACGAAAAAGAATACACAGAAAAATACGGACGTAAACGTATACATTGAAAACTAAAGGCCGTGTTAAAAATTAATATCCATTTTGTTTCACATGTGATAACTTACGATATGAGGTGGTAATGATTTAATTTCACACGCATATGCACGCACGCACGCACGCACGTACACAGAGCGAGTACAAGCGATACATATGCATGCGAGTCATAGGTCAGGAATAAACTTATTATTATTTTTAATAAGAAGCAATGCTTCAAAGGGCCATGATAATTTTCCTGTTCTTATGATAATTTTTTGAAGCGTTTCTATACTCCTCTTCTATTATTATTTTTAAGGTAGTTATCGCGTAGAATCGATGTCTTGCCAACTCTCTCTCCCAAACTTGAGTCACATATTAAGCAAAAGACTTTTCAGGCGCTAATGAAATTTCTAAATGTTTGACCGTTCCAAAGTTGAGATAATTGCAATTATAAATAAAATTTTTTGCGTGTATCATATGCGTAAACTCATTCAAAACTGCACATTTGAAGCTCTAGCTATCAAACTATATTTGATAAGACATTGATAAGAAAAAACTAGAGTAGATCACGATTAAAAAAATACTATAAAAAAAAGTTTAGAATTACTGACTGTCTAGTTGTCGAAACAAAGCCGCGGAAAGATCATAATATTTCTTGACGAGGCATAAGTTAGGCAAGTAACAGCGGCAACAGTCGTCTTTCGTACTTACGAAACTAGCGCGCACTGAGTGCGCACCTCTCTCAATGCGTAGTAAAATACTAACGATGAAATATTCTACTGCACATTGAAAGAAGATGCACTCAGTGCGCACTACTGCATCCAATCGAAATCGTCGTTAGATCTTGACACGCCGTTTGTTTTGCAATTTTCTCGGCTCTGTCATACTTGAAAATTATTTTTAAATTTTGTTTTCTGATATCTGCATTAAAATTGAAAAGTCATTTTAATAGTTTCTCGTTTGACAGCTGAGCAAACTGACAGATTTGGTTAGACGCGCGCGACGTTGTCACATTGTCGTTCGATGCGTACAGCGTGGACAGTCGCTACTAAAAGTTTACCACATTAAAAAAAAAATAAATAAATAAAATTTAAAGAGATGTTGAGCATAATAAAACTACTTATTTATTTCTGCACTAATGACATGTTGATAAAATAGAGTCTATGAAATATTCGTACGACGTGTGAATCGAGAGTTTTGAGAATACTTTTCTGTAGTGTAAAACTTAAACTTTTGAATAAGACTGTCGCGCAATAACTACCTTAATAAACAACTTTTGTTATTCTCACTTACCGATCGCGGCACATCGATAACAAAAGGCCGTATTTCTTTTGATGCTTCCTTATTTTTTGCCGGACCCCAAAAAGTCTCGGGCAAATTCGGTACATCTGACACGGAATTGCTTCTATAAAGAGAATATAAATTTATTCAACTCTTTTTTTTCTCCCGTTTAAATCACATTGTAGTTGATTCTCTTTGTAAGATTTTTAATAAATCACAGAAATAAATAAAAAAAAAAAAAAAAAGACAAGTTTTGTGACAATTTGCGGTTATTTCTCTGTGAAGAGAAATTATTATAGTTACGTGTCTCTATGTACATATCGTCACTCCCTACGTATAATCCCGTAACTCCAAAACGCAAATTTTAGAGGAGAGCTGTTTAAAAGTTTAAAGTTTCATATAGTTTCCCTAGTTAAGGGATCTTTTGGTTTTAAATTTTACTTTACTTATGAATATTTGTTTTAAATATTTGGTGACCATAAAGAACATGACTTTCTAAGTGTCACTATGCAATAAACTGAAAATCCCGTATGTAACACTTATGTAATTATACGTAGGGAGTGACGATATAAAGACTGCGTCTTATCGTCCGGCTGATATAAAATCTGACTGATATAAAAATGAACAAACCTCAAAATCTTTCCGATTTAATACTGCAAGAAAGAGTTGCAAAAAAAAAAAAAATCTACAATTTTGCGTTGTGAAAACGCATATCTAATAAAGAATTGTTTAACGTTGTAAATTAATTTGTACTTACCGTAAGAAAAAAACTATGCCAATGGAAACAACCAAGATAACCGTCGTAGTCTTCCACATTGTGCGTCTGTTCAACTTTACGTGTTGCGAACGACTAACCGTGTAGTATAATCGACGGGAAGTGAAGGCCAGTGTTACTGCCGTTAGTACGATCTACAGTCGATAGAGGGAGAATCAAGTATAGATTTAGATACATGTGTATTTGTTTGCACAGGAAGATGATAATTTTTGTATTTTTTATTTTTTTTCAAGTATTAAATTAATGCAAATGTTACGTAAATGAGATATATGCATAAATGAGATATACGCATCATTCACCTTTGCTTCGTCTGTGCGTAGCAACAACGTGGCTGTAAAAGTAACACGTAACCGAGAGCGTGCAATTTAAAAACTTCAGTATTTGCTCGTAGCGAAAATAGATAACAAACTTTGTTGCGTCACATGTTTTTTCACTTCAATAATTCATCTTCAAGAAAATCTTGAAGAAAATCAGAGAGAAAATATAATGTGTGGAAAAAAGCAGGATACGACGGTGCACAACCATAGGATTCAATTAAAACAATAACAAATACATATATTTCTCGAAATGTGATACAATAGGTTTTTTTTTTTTTTCGTGTTGGTGGTCATATCTAATTTTTCTTATGTTTTTCATGTATTTTGTTTTAAGTGGATCGGACGATTATTTTCATCGAAGACGCGGCTGTGTCCTCTCTATCTTATCAGTTTGTATTTTTTTTTTTTTTTTT